GCTATCCGAAGGTTGCCTGCAGTTATACGACTTGCTTGGCACTTGGCACACGTAAGATGGCTGCTAAGAATGCACTTGTTCGCAAGTGCCTAGTGTTGAACACTTGGTTGCACAACAGTGATTTGCTCAGATAAGACTGGTACTCTGACTACGAACCAGATGGCAGTGGCTAAGCTTGTTGCTATGGGTTCCAACACAAATGCTGTTCGATCATATGACGTGCAAGGAACTTCCTATGATCCTTTTGATGGGAAGATACTGAACTGGCCTGTGGGTCAATTAGATTCTAACCTTCAAATGATTGCAAAGATTGCAGCTATTTGCAATGATGCCGATGTGGAAAAGGCTGGGCAAGATAAATCCGGACATTACGTAGCACATGGAATGCCGACTGAGGCTGCACTTAAGGTATTACTTGGTTTTTCGTGGTCAAAATTTACAATACATATTTCCAGCAGTTTAATCAGCAATTTTGTTATTTTATATTTTTCTATATGTGCTGTTCTATATCAGTTTGTGGCATGTATATCAACGCATTATTTCTTATGGCATACCAAGTTAGGCTATTTAGTAGTTGCTGGAAATTATAGTACCTTTGCAAGTTCTTCTCAGTATCATGAACTAATAGTACCTTGATGATTTCTTGTCTGTATCATTTATGTTCCTTAGATATAACATGAACTTTTGCTTTCCCCCTTACCAACTACAAAGTAACTAGAGATTCATTATTTGTGAAGGATACCATGCTTGACGTGATTATATTTTCAGGTTCTGGTTGAGAACATGGGTCTCCAAATGAACTAAGTTCTACATCCTCTTCAGGATATGATGGTGTTTTAAGTAAGTTGTCTTCTACATTACTCAAAATAGTTTTGCTATGTTTGGTTTCTGTACTCATGTGCAATTTTTATACGGTTATCGCAGCTTGTGCCTACACATGGAATAAAATTGAACAGCGGATTGCCACCCTTGAGTTTGATCGTGATCGAAAATCCATGGGAGTCATTGTGAGTTCTAGCACTGGAAACAAGTTACTCGTTAAGGTACGGTTTGTTTCCCTTTTATTACTTCTCTGCTACTCAATACTATGAAATATTTTCAATGCTAGTGGCATTTGGTTCAGTGTCTTTCTTTTGTATTTGGATATACCTTATAAGTAGGTGCTACCCACCAATTCCCCCCCTCCCCCACCGAAAAAAAAAAAAAAAGGATATAGGTTTTTTTTGTTGTTTAATTTTGATACGAACTTCCATGCGTATTATTTCAGAAATTAGGCAATGTGTGTATTATTGACTTAATTCCGCTTTGCACCCTTGAAATGGACCATTTTACCACTTTGCACCCTTGAAAAACAATAATAGCACTTTGTACCCTCAAAACACTATTAAATCATTCACAATGCACCCTTAATTGAATAATAAAGGATAATTCATTTTTTATTGTTTTTTTTCCGTTTTCAAAATAACAATTAAATTGTAATTTTCTTCAACCTCCAACCTAATTTCGAGCGCACAAAGTGCGAAAAAATAAAAATCACACCGGATAATTGAAAAAAATATATATTTTCATACAAAACAAAAGAAATAAACTTTTATCACTAAATTATTCGATTGATAGATATTTAATTGTAATTGGTTGAAATATTAGGTACAATATTTGGAAGAAAATATGATTTTCAGATAACTTGATAACGAAATAGCTGAATGATTTTTTTTCTTCGTAAAATATTTTTTTATGATAAAAAATATAGTTTTTAAATACCACCAAAAATATTAAATTAACTTTATTATCTTTAAAAACTCATGTGGGGTGCATTATGCACGATATATTGTATTTCGAGGATGCAAAGTGCGATTTATTTGTTTCGAGGGTGCAAAGGGCCAAAATGGTGTATTTCAAGGGTGCAAAGTGGGATTAAGCCGTAAATCCAAAACTATACATGTAATTTATTTTTTAAGAAAATACTACAGTAGATGATGCTACAGAAAATAGGCATCGAATTAGTATAGTTGGGTCCTGAAACTTATTTGCGTATCTTTCCTATTTATTTTGCTTCATTCTTGTTCACTAACTCGATAACTGCCTCATTATGCAGGGTGCAGTTGAGTCATTGTTGGATAGAAGTTCCCATGTGCAATTGCTTGATGGCTCAGTTGTAGAACTAGATCAAAGTTTAAGGGCAGTTATATTGGAAAGCCTTCACAAACTGTCAAGCAATGCGTTACGAGTTCTGGGTTTTGCATACAAGGACGATTTACCAGAATTTGCTACATATGATGGTGATGAAGACCATCCAGCTCACAAGCTCTTATTGAAACCTGAAACTTATTCTTCAATTGAGAGCAATTTAGTTTTTGTTGGCCTGGCTGGTTTAAGGGTGAGGCTTTTTGTTTATTTTATATTGTTCCCTTCAATTCCACATTGGTTATGACCTTACAGAAATTCTAAATGTATTGTATGAATTTTTCTAATTGTCAAAGGATCCTCCTCGGAAAGAAGTCCCTCGGGCAATTGAGGATTGCAGAACAGCTGGCATTCGAGTTATGGTAATCACAGGAGATAACAAAGCCACAGCTGAAGCAATTTGTCGTGACATAGGTGTTTTCGGACGCCATGAAAATATCAGTTCAAGGAGCTTGACGGGAAAAGAGTTCATGGAACTCTCCAGACAGGACAAAGAAAATTATTTAAATCAGGATGGAGGGCTTCTTTTCTCAAGGGCTGAACCAAGGCACAAACAGGAAATCGTGAGGCTGCTCAAGGATTCTGGTGAAGTGGTAGCAATGACTGGGGACGGAGTGAACGATGCACCCGCCCTGAAGTTGGCCGACATTGGGATTGCGATGGGCATTGCAGGGACAGAGGTGATTATTTTATCAATATAATATTCACTGTGCCATCCTATTTATAATAAATTGATTTCATTTAAAATCTGCTTCTTCGTTCTTGTTTTATAACAAACTATCTCATGATATTCTGGTTTATGTGACCTTACCTATCTGAACAGTGTATCAAAGTATTTCTAATATTTTGTTCTTGCCTTCCTTCTAGGTTGCAAAGGAAGCTTCTGACATGGTTTTGGCCGATGACAATTTCAGCACAATTGTTTCTGCTGTTGGTGAAGGCAGATCCATTTACAACAACATGAAGGCCTTCATCAGGTCTTATTTTTATACTAGTAGCATTCCATCTTCACTAGCTTATATAATTCGAATTTTATCGATCCTTTTGACATTCTTATTTCATTATTCACCAACTTTTTCTTAGACGTTTAAGTCCCGTATTATTGAGATTATGACTAATTAGGGTCCAGTTGCTTCAAACTTGTGGCTATAAATGATGTATAAATTGTACTTATATTTGTTATTATACCTTGTTACAGATACATGATCTCCTCAAACATTGGCGAGGTTGCCTGCATATTTCTGACCGCTGCTTTAGGCATTCCAGAAGGTTTGATTCCGGTACAGCTTCTGTGGGTTAACTTGGTAACCGATGGACCACCAGCTACTGCTTTGGGATTCAATCCACCGGACAAGGATATCATGAAGAAACCACCTCGAAGAAGTGACGACTCATTGATCAGTCCATGGATTTTATTCCGTTACTTGGTAAAACCTTGTTATTCCCTCATTCCCCTAAAAAAAATTTGAAAATCACTAAATCAAGAAATTCTATTTTTACTAATTTGTTCGTTTCGATTCAGGTTATTGGAGCTTACGTTGGTATTGCAACAGTGGGAATATTCATTATCTGGTACACTCGCTCGTCTTTCCTAGGCATTGACCTCAGTGGAGATGGCCACAGCCTCGTGACATACTCACAGCTCGCTAACTGGGGACAGTGCTCAACGTGGAACAATTTTACCGCTTCGCCCTTCACGGCCGGGAATCAAGAAATCAAATTCGACAATCCGTGCGACTATTTCCAGACAGGAAAAATCAAAGCCATGACTCTGTCACTCTCTGTACTTGTGGCCATCGAGATGTTCAATTCGCTGAATGCACTGTCTGAAGATGGAAGCCTTTTGACCATGCCTCCATGGGTCAACCCATGGCTTCTTCTGGCAATGTCGATCTCGTTCGGGCTGCACTTCTTGATTCTATATGTGCCTTTTCTTGCTCAAATATTCGGCATTGTGCCTCTTAGCCTGAACGAGTGGCTGTTGGTATTGGCTGTGGCTTTGCCCGTGATTTTGATCGATGAGGTACTCAAGTTTGTGGGCAGATGTACGAGTGGGATGCGTTCATCGAGTTCGAAAAGGTCTTTGAAGCACAAGGAAGAGTGAAGAAGACGAAGATAGAATGTTGGAATTGTTTGTGAATGCACCACCAGTCAAAATGGTGGTACATCTATTTATTCCATTCTCGATACTTTAATATAGATATAGAAGATTATGTTGGACTTGGAACGTTCGAGAGCATTTAATATTTAGGATTTGTTTAGTGAGTTGGTTATGGGTAGTTTTGTTCTAACCCCCCCAATTGTTTGCCTGATAATTTGTATCAAAACTTGTTTAACATTTAAGTAAAATTTTGGAGAAACTCTTTTATATTGTTTTTCGTGTTCGCATCGATCATGTCGAGTATCTTCGCTAATTTACTTGTTAACCCCCCAATTGTTTGCCATGGATATATTTGGCTAGAAAGAATCTTAATTCGATATTGATAATTTGAGGTTCCAATAAACAAGCTTCAAGAGTGAAAAGTGTTAAAACGGTACATTTCGTTGGTGCAAAGTGAAATTATGCCGCCAAAATATTATTGCAATTTTATAAGTCACACTTATTTTCATTTTTCACCCCTTTTATTCAGCGAAGGAAAAAAACCTACTCTATTTGAGACACCCATACTTTTAATATTTGCAAAATAAACCCAATAACATTTTTTTAAGCAAGCACATACTAAATGATAATTTTTGGGGTTAATTTTCTAAAATTGCAAATCATATAGACATTTTGCCTGTATTATTATATTAATAATACCAATTATTATTCTTTATGAACAATACTCCAAAAAATAAACCGAAATAGATACAGTAAAAATAATAAAAACCCAGTTTAAGATGCAGATTTCAATAACAAAATTGATTCAGAAATAAGC